TGCCTCTGAACGGCAGCAACTTCTTACCACGGTCGGCCGGCTCTCAGGGCGCTCCTGCGCCCCGGGGGTGTGCAGAGGCCTGGGGGGGCTTCTCAGGGCCGCAGAAGCAGCAGCCAAAGGGGCGATGCATCCCGGGCAGCGTGTTGTGGCTTAGCCAGCGGCTCCCGAATTTTTAGTTTGCTGTTAGCTGTCTTCCATGACTTCTAGCCCTCCACCTGCGTTAAGGGCTTCTAATTCCTGTTGCAAAAACAGCCTCAAAAATACGAATAGCTGAAATACGAGTCGGTGGTTTTTTGAGTCTGCAGGCAAACGTTGTAAGCCTTGCTTGTGCCCAACACGTTTATAACATCACAGTGAAGTGAAATAATCAAGGTATGGATGGATTTGACTGTTGCCTTTTGTAAATCACCAGTAATATATTAATTAAAAGAATCTCTTTGGTGGGTAGAAAGATCAAATATGGTAGAGGTACTAAAAAAACAACAGGGAGAGGATGACAGGTACTGAAGTTGAAGGCTTAGAAGAGCTGTGGTACCACAGATAATCCTTGCTGCATCCAGGCCCTAGGGGAGCAGGCTGTAGTCATCGCTTGTTGGCTGACAGCGTTAGATAAGGAATATACTTTTGATAGTGTACTTTCCCTTCCCTCCTCTACCTGTGTCAGAGTGCCATGTGGGCTTGTTATAGTTTCCTATACAACCATTTAACCCACACGATGTGGTTATACTGCACTGATAAGTTCTTGTTTTGTGTCCGATGACTGCTCTTCTCTTTTCATAACTGACAAGCTTGTCGTGTTTTCCAGTAACACAGCATATCTGTTCATCATCTTGGAGCTGTTTGCAGAAAAGCCTTTAAAAGGTGCTAGAAAATAGGCATGTCTGACCCACAGGGAGAAATTATGTGGGTCATCTTGCTGTCATGAGCACGCTCTTGAGTTGCAGGCTGGCGTGATGATTTCACAGCGATATTGAGAAACCTATGAATAGTAAGAAATTTCTTTCCTCCTGTATCTAACTGCACAGCTTTAGAAGGAAGATGTTATTTCTGCTTACTGGATGATGGGGAAATGGCACTGCTTGCCTCATGTCTGCCAGCAGCCGTAGACAAGCTACTGTCTGGAGAACAGGGCTAGAGAAAGCAAT